CCCAAGGAGAATCGGGGAGCTGTTATCCAGACAGAGATAAATCAGAGGATGCCAAGAAGCCGGGGGTGGGGGGAGCAGGTTTCCAACAGCAGGAGAATAATTAAGGAAACAGTTTCAAAATGCAAATGATGAAAGAGGGTTTGAGAGGAATGAGGACAAGATGATTAGAGATGGGGTGACGGGAGCAGGAGGGTGGGATTCTTTCCTCAGTGGAGAAGGCAGTTGGGGTTCAGGATTCCTGGCATCCAAAGGTAAACTTGCCTACTCTGGGAAGCTCTTAAAATGCAAGGGTTAAAAGATACACAAGTCTTCTGTGCAGAGTTAAAAGTACATCAGGAATCAGAAGGCTGGATTTAATTTCCAGTCAGCTCTGCAACTTATTAGCTGTGTGACCTTGGGCAAACCACTTAACCTCTCTGTTTCCTGAGAATCCTACCCAGTCCCAGGCATAATTATAAAGATCAAATGAGATAAAATATGTAGAAGAACTTCGTAAAATATCAAGTGCTGGACAAATGTAAGCAATAATCATCTTCCTAAATTGGGTTTCTCCCCTCAGAATTGGATCCAGTGACATGTCGGGTCTGGTTCCCAGAAATGTAATGTATAAATGTCTACTAGATTCTTTGTACTGGCTATTGATCAACTTTTCTGACAGAGAGTCCGAACATCACATCACACTGATCCATCCTCTGGTGCCCACTCACCAGTGGATCCTACCCCAAAGACAAGGCTCTGAGGACCATAGTTCCTGAAGGTCACCAGTGGCGCTGGATGGGCTTGGTGAGGCAGGCTTGGGGAATCAGCTCAGAGATCAAAATCCAAACTGAGTCCACCGGGGAACTTTCCAGGCCACTGACCAGCACAGATGTTCTGACATCCACAGGATTCAACCACCCCCCCTTCTCAAGGGGCTAGCTTAGCCCCCTGTGGACCCATTGTCCACCCAATGTTGGACTGCCCTGAGGATTATGGGATTATGCCCCCAGAAGCACTTACCTTGGTGCTCAGTGTTTTTGTTTCTGCAGTGCTAGGGACGGCCCCCAGGACCTGGTGCCTGGTAGGCAAGTGCTCCCCCATGGAGCTCCGTCCTCAGGCACCAGCGCTTGGTATATATAGTTAAACACTTTCAATAAATAGTGGTTGTTATTACGACCCCCATGTACTGTTACGTTATTACTGTTACTATCATGCATTGCTGCACAAAAATATGAGCTCCATCAAGGAAAGCTTCTTGATTGGTTTTTCCTGTTGACAAAAGGGAAAACTGAGTCCTCCTGGGGGAGGGGAGGGGACTTCACAGGTGCAGATGTTGTTGGAAGACCTGGGAATGGGACCAGCTCCTACCAGGAGGCACATGCCGGTGGGAGGGGCGTTTATTGGCTGAGCTGAGTAGTCCTGGGGGGCTCAAGGCGGGTTGGGGAGCCACTGCCCACAGATTCAAGAACTGAGAGCCAAGTGATTTCCCAAGGCTCCTCTGCCCAGGGGTAGAGGTGAACTGGCCCCCCTGGGTTAGCCCCCAGCCCAGGAGAATCCCCACCTCAGTGATGCTGTTCCTTACCTGGTGACAGGCTCGTGACATGCAAACGAGGAGAGGGCAGGACCCCAGCAGGTTTATACAGGCACTGCAGGGAGTAGTTCTAGATATGATTTTAAATTATAAAAGTGATTACCATATTTGCTGTACATGTCACTGCATGTCATCTCTCACTAATGCCACTGCAAAAAGAGCCCCCCTGCAGAAAACCTGGAATAGAGAAAAGTAGAACAAAATGCTTTCCGATACGCTTTTTAAAAATATACTTGGAATAGTATTTTGAGATATTTTTCTGTTATCCTAATGTTTAAAAAATAACTTTGTTTTTTTCCTGCTTTTTAAAATACTATGCTCATTGAAAAAGTAAAATAAAATAAAAATATCCACTGTACAGATCATCACTTTTACATATTAGACATTCTTTTTCTATATATGTTCCTTCTTCTTTCTTTTTTTTAAGTTCTTAAAGTTCATACTGTTTTTCCCATTTCTTAATATCTTCAACACTTTTCTACATTATTAAGTATCCTAGTCATATTATTTCTAATGACTAATCTTATATTCTATTTAAGTTATCTAATAATCCCTTTTGCTGGATATTTAGATTAGTCGTTCATTCATTAATTTTTGGTACTGGAGATTGAACCCGAGTTCTCATGTGCTCTACCCCTAAGCTATACCCCTAATCTCTAGCATATTCTCTTTAAAATGTTATAAACATCCTTGTAACCTCATATTTATAAATGTTCTTGATTATTTTCTTTGAACACATTCCTATATGGATTGAGTCATATCTGTCATACTTTTAGGCTATAAAACATATTGTCAAAACGCCCTTGAAGGTATTTCTCCTCTTTGCAGCTCTACCAGGAAATTTTTTTCTAGTTTCCCCACATATAACAAACAATATGTATTTATATTTAACTATGTTCAGTGTACTTAACTATTTAAATGTATGATTTTTACACCCCATACACCTAGAATCATACATTATTTCATCCTGATTTTTTAAAAATTAATATTTCACAAGCATTCTCATGTTGCTAGATTTTACAATTAGTTTCAATGAGTGTATAAAATAGTGTCAAGCAAATTTAACATCTGATGTAAGTCACTTATCCTTTGTTACACATTTAGGCTATTTTTCTCCAAAACTTAATACTGTAATAAACATCTTCATGCATGAAACTTTAAAAAAAATTCTAAATTATTGTCGTGGAGTAGTCACTCAAAAGTGAAATTACATGAGCTAAAAGGTTTGAAAAATTTATAGGTGTGATACATATTGCCAAATTGCTTTCCAAACGGATATTAAGAGTTTATAAGCACATCAGCAATATTTGTGAGAGTACCAGTTTCTAGGCTTCTTCATCGGCTCTGAAAGCTGCAATTTCTTCCCCACTGACCACTTAACAAAAAAGAGGTGTGTACTTTCTTGTTTTGCTTTGCAAGTCTTTGGTTGCTAATGAAGCGGACATCTACCTGTGTTGGTTTACTGGATATATTTCTGTAGAAAATATTTTGGGTAAACACTGAAATTATCACCAGGTCTCTGCTTTTTTTTTTTTTTTTCCTTGCACATATTCTGTCTCACGCCCTAGAGTCAGCTTGCAGGTTAACAGAGGAAGATCTGACCCCAGCCCGGCACCAGGACACACAGAAGTCACTGTGACCTCTGGAGACAAATTCTAAGCGGCGCAGACGGCCACGTCACCCCGCCCCCAGCCCTGTGCTCCTCCCTCACCAGCCCTGAAAGGTGGGCAGGTGTGACCAGTTTGAGGACCAGGCCAGAGGAAAGGGCAGGGAACGCTCTGGAAGGCGGGGAGGGCCAGCAGCGTCCCTTTCCGCCCAAGCGGGATCCCACGAGGCTGGAAAGAAACACCTAGCTTCAACTCTAGAACGAAATTCGAGGTGGCGAAGTCGCGGGGCTGGGATCCCGAGAAAGACTGGGCCCAGGGCTGGCGGGGTGGGCTTCGGGCGCCTGCTGTCAGGAGGCGGCGAGTATCTGATGAGGGGTCAGAGGATTTCTGCGGAGAACTCGTCCCAGCCCTGGGACTTGCTTTATGTCTGCCAGGAATTCACATTCGGCCTAACGTGTTTTAAGCTGTGTGTGTGCGTGTGTGTGTGTGTGCGTAAGTGTGTGCGCGCGTGTGTTAAATCCAATAGCCACACAAGCCCTTCGCTGGTCAGCCCGGGTGTCCGTGTGCACGTTACCGCCCTGCACACACGTGGTCCAGAATTGTTCAAAACGCCCGCGGTGGCAGCCGGCGAGGCAGAGCGGTCTCTGGGGACCCAGAGGAGGACAGAGCCGGGTGAACCCCGGTCGGAGGGTCGCGGAGGCCGGGATTCGATCGAGAGCCTGGGCAGGGCGGACTCCCGGGGGCAGGCCGCGGCGTGCGGGGGGCGCGCTTGGGGACCCGCGCCCCCCCTCGGTGCTCTGTCCCTGGCCGCCTTCCTTCGCCCAGCCGGCTGCCGCCGCGGCCCGCTGCATGACTCGTGCGTTCCGGGCCGAGTACGGGCTGTCCCTGGCCCAGCCTCAGCCAGACGCGGGGGAGAGACAGCAGGGGCTGGAAGTGCCGGCGGGGAAGGAACTGGCCAGAGAGGAGGAGGAGGAGGATGGAGTCATCCGGCTCCGGAGCGCGCTCGGTCCGGCGGAGAGATGCTGGGCACCGAGAACGCGCGAGGGGCAGACTGTCCCCAGGCCCCGGCCGGCGGAGGGTCCCCGCCCTGCCCCGCCCCTTGGTCAGAACTGACAGGCTGGGAGGACGCGATCCGCTGATCTGGAACCCCCAGGGGACCCGCGAAAACCGGCTCCCCGCGGACGCCCCGGTCCTGGGCCACCTGCTGCCGCGGCCCAGCCCGTAGCGGTATTTATACCCGCGAGCTGGCCCGCACGGAGGGGCGGGGGAGGAGGCGGCGAAGCCCCGCCCCGCTCCACGCGGCCCCGCCCTTGTGCACCGCCGGGCTCACTTGGGGCACCGGGACCCCCACTCCCGCTGGGGTCGTCTGCCCGTTGTCGGGTGGGAGCCCTGGCTGAAGGGCGGGCCTCCCTGCGGAAAGCGACGTCACGGCCGCTCCCGCAGTGTGAATGAATCAAAATGCCTGGGTGACCGCGGCCTCCCCGGCGGCCGGCACGCGAAGGGTGGAGGGGGAAGGGGAGAGAACGGGCGGGGGAAGGAGGAGGGGAAAGAGCCAGGGCTGCAGCAACAGCGTCTCCTCTACCCGGGATGTGCACCAACCCCGGAGAGCGAGATCAAAGGGATTTGAAACAGACTGAGGACTGGCGGGGGGAGGGGACCGGCCAGCCTGTGGAGTCCTCCCGGAGAGGCCGAGGGCCCGGCTTCCACTGTGACTTCAGCGGCCTGCTTGGGTTTCTTATCATTATTTTCAAATTTCGGAACCCAGCTAGAGGGAGAGAGCCAGAGATCTCCGTAGACTGCGACTCGCTGGCTCTTGCTCCAAGATGATGCAGAGCGCGGCGGTCCCCGCGGAGGGGGCTGTCCAGGGGCTCCCGGAGATGCTCGGTGTGCCGATGCAACGTAAGACAACCTCCTTTCTCGCTGATTTAATTTGATAACAAGACAGCTAACAGCCTCAGCTGGTGCTGGGCGGGCCGGACGCTGCTCATGGCCCTGGCCAGGAAGGGCCGGTGGCCGGGGCGCAGAGGCGGTCACCGGGCAGGGGCACCAGCCAGAGTGCGTTTGAAGGGCCTGGCTCTTTACTGTTAGGGGCCGAAGGTGAAAGCTTCCTGGACCATACTCGAGGAGGGCCCAGGGTACCGAAACCCGCATCTTCAATCCATGGCTTTTCTGGGAATGCCGGGGAGAGTGCTGTTTGGGGACATCAGTGGGGTTCGAGCTGCAGGCCAGGCCTGAGGGCAAGGGTGGTCCCCTACCTCATCCCTCATCCCTGGGTGGCGGTCAAAGCTCGCCGGACCTCTAGTGCAACTTCACCCCGGCTGGCGGGAAGTTGGAGAGCGCATCCCCCGCCCCCCGGGGCTGGCGGCGCGGAAGCACCGGCCACAAGTCTGAGCCGCCCGCGCTCCCGGGCCAGAGTGTCTGGTGCGTCCCCAGCCGCTGCTGCCCGCGGCACTCGCCGCCTGGGGGACCTACTGCTTCTTGTGAGGGAATCTGCTCACCACATTCCAGTTACCCAAGGAATGCAGAGGAGGGAGAAACGCCGAGACGAAGTTGTGAACTCGGGGTTCAGCCTTCGCGCAGGCGAGGGCAGGCCATCAGGGTGGCCCGGATTTGGAGGGGGGAGAGGCTGAGGTGTGTGCGCGCTTGGCCAGCCCTCTCGCTTTCTTCCCGCGCCTGAAATTGGCAAGGAGTCGCGAGCTTGGGGCGTGTTTGTCCCTAGGTCTTTCTGTGTGTATGAATGTGCGCACGCACAGATTTTCCCGTAGGGAATCTGTCTGTCTCACTCGGAAACCAAGAGTCCGGGAGATTGAATATGTGCGGAGACCGAAACAGGTCCCCAAGTGTCGCGCGCGCTCGTGGCGGGTGCAGCCTAAGTCCTGCCCCTCTGGCTGGTGCGTTCAGCAGAGCGCCCCGGGGCACCGTGGAGAGAAGAAGGGTTTTCTCGCTCTGCTTGCCAAGGGGTTGTACTTCCGCCTGCGACTTCTTTAGTGGTGCTGTAGCTACGGTATTTTTTTTTTTTTTTTTTAAGAGCAGGCTCACCGAGGGGATTGTGACCGCCTACGAACTAGGGCGCACCAGCGCGCCCTCCTGCGCCCCGGTTCTCCATCGCAGGATTTCTGTCCTGGTCATACCTCAAAGGACAGGCTGGAAAGCCAGTGCCCTGGGCTTCCCTGGGAAGTTTTTGGGAAGGGATTAAAAGAGGATAGCTTAATTCAAGCCTATCTAGATGTTTCTTCCCTATATCCTAGAGTTATTCTTTGAGTCTTTTCGCGTCAACTGTTGGCAGTTTCAACTCTGTGCTGAGTCTTGGGGAATTTACTGCTAAGGTGTTCTGTGGGAGGCGTTGGAGGTTCATGCTGCCTCGCCCCACACCCGGTGCCCCAGTTTGAAGAGATGCAGTGGGCTTTCAGCCTCTGCACAAACAGAAACACAAATTTGGCAAAGGTGCCCAGGTCCTTAAGCTGCCTGAAGCTGTGCAGGAGGGGAGTGCAGAGTGGGGCAAAGGTGCACATGTGTGATTGTGACCTTGGTAGCCGGTGGGTGGTCTGGGCTCCAATTCTTTGATAAGGAGGTGACCTGTTAGGAACAACGAAGTACCCTATCCTTTTGGGGTATACTGGGCTGTGTGGGGTTATCTTAATTTTTGCTTGTCTTGCTCAGAGACAACTTTGATGTTGGTCCTCAGGCACTCAAAATGCCCAGAATTTGGCTCCAGAGCTACAGTTTGCCAAGGCTCTAGGTCTGGGTTCAAACTGTGGAACACTAAAAAGGTAAAGAAAGGAATCCTTATCTCAGGGTGGCCCACAAGGTAAAGTCATAACAAGGGTGGGTGATCAGTGCTCTCTTTTGTCTTTCCTCAGTTCAGTGGCCCATGGGCCTCAGGGGGAGAGAAAGGTAATCAGCTGGAGGAGAAACCAGTCAAAATTGAGGGTCCCAATCCCTAAAGACCTTGGAATGTTTTTATTTTCCTTTTTTTTTTTTTTAAATCTCCCTCCCCCCCACCACCTTTTGAAATGTATGTGGATTTATATTCCTTTCCTTACAGCAGACCTGACCACTGGCTGTTAAACTCTTGGGGCTGGGACTGGAGGACAGGTGGGGTGTGGTTCCTCACTCCGGTATACCACCGAACTATTCTCTTTCCTGGGTTGGGCCCTGGGGCCTAAGACCTCAGAGTGGGGGTGGGGTAGGGAGCGTGTCTAGGGGGAGCATACCCATGGGCCTCAGGAGACAGAAAGGTAATCCCAGGACTCTCAACCCTGGGTTGGAAGGACAAGGAAATACTCTCCCAGGGGTCCCTCCGACCTGCCAACCAGAAGGTTGGTATTGAGCCCCTCCCCTTAGATTCTGCTTCTTCATCACCTGAGCCACCACAAACAGAGCACAGGTCTAGGGATCCCCTAATCTCCGCCTTTGGTGTCCTTACATCTAGGGGAGTTTTGGAAGAATTTAAAATCCAGTTTGTTTCGGTGGCAGTCGGAATATTCTTTCGTTTATTTGAGGATGAGCGAAATTCATTCCCTTCAGGAAAACGTTACCAAGTAATGTAATAATTTCTCTCCCTTCGCCAGTTTCTGCCCACATTCTGCCCTCTTCCTCCCACTCTGCCCCCGCCTCCCGCCACCGCTGGCTCCTGGTTAGCTCCTTCGCCCTCGCGGTGCTGCTGTTCCCAGAGGTGGCGCGGACCCCTCCTGGAGCAGCGGGGTCCCTCCTGCGCACCGCTCGGACTAGCTCCAGCTGCTCCAGCCGCTCGAAGGGCATCGGCCGGGAGAGCTCAGAAAGAACTGGGCGGAGGAGGCTGAGAGCTGGTCCCCCACCCCCTTCCACACACCGCGCCTCTTAGATCGCGGTTTGGTTACCAGGTCCCGCCACCGCCTCCTAAGGAACTCCCCCGCCTTGCTCAGGATGACGGCGAGCGCTCTGTCCCAAGGAGCCCGACGGGTCACTTCCAGGACGCACCAAGGGCCCTTTGAAAGGGTTCGGTGTCCTTCCGGGGGCGGTATGGGTAGGTTTGGAAAGGGACTTCATCTTAAACTCCTGGGTTCCGACTACTGGGCCCACGTTTTGGGGTCGTAGCTTGTGGTCGCAGAGCGCTCTCTATCTCTGATCTCTTTATTTATCTCTGTTTCCGGGCACAGCCTGCCTCTGTGCCGGTGGTCCTTGTCGCCTCTTTCAGGCTGTAGGGACGCCGAGGTCCAAGTTCTCAGGGCGCCCGCCGTCGGACAGCGCTCGGTGCGGTGAGTGCTTCCCGAGCCACCTCCGAAGCTGCCTTCTCGGAACCGAGCGTTGCCCTCCGTGCTTCTGGCTTGTGCTGGCCCCTCTCGTCCGCTAAGGAGACTCAGAAAAATGCGGGGTGTATGGGAAGGTGGGGCGTTTATGCGCCTTTTGCACTCAGTTTTGACCCATCTTCCAGGCATCTGCCCAGGCACCAAAAGAAAGAACAACTGCCACCCGCAGCACAGCAGCGCTGGTCGGAGTGTGGCAACCTCCGTGGGAGAAAGGAGAAACCTGCCAGGTCCCTCCCGGGGTGGTAAATGGAAAGGCGGCCCCAGGTGACTGCCATCCATCCCCTTGTTTGTCTCCTAAAATGACTACTGCCTGCAAGCCCTTAGGAATCCCGAAGCTTTGGGAAAAGGCTACTTCATTCATTTTGTATTTGGTAGGCTCTGGGTGAGGCACTTCTCTTGGGCGTCGCACTACCCCTTTTCCCCTTCCTGTGACTCATTCTGGGTGCGTGGGGACAAACCTACCAGCGCAGGTCGCCTGGCAAGTTCTGGTCCCCCACGGTGTTTATCATCCTGCTTGGGGATTTCTTGGGGACTAATTTCCCAGGCCAGGGCTTCTCTTAAACTCTGGGGTGAGCCTCTTCTCTCTGATGCCTTGTCTCATGGTTCAGGAAAAACCCGCGACAACATAATTTATGTGTATATGTGAATAAAGAGGCTAACCGATTCCAGTACACAATTTCAAACAGCAACTGGGGCATCACAGACCTCCCGCCCCAACTCACCCAAATATTCTTGGGCACAAGCCAGTTTTAAAGGCCAGGCTAGCTATCCCCGCCGGCCGATTTAAGCCTGGTGGGTTGGGGTTCGGATTCTCTAACCGCCAGGATCCTGCCCCAGCCCGCAGTCAAAGCTGCGAACTACCCAGCAGAGAATTTGGAAAAGCCCATCCTAGCTGAGAGCGCCTGGCAGGCGCAAGGGCTCCAGTCTCCTCGTGTCCGTGACCTCGATCCGAGAAGGCAGGGAGGGAGAAGGGAAGTCTGAGAAGCCGCGGTCCCAGAGCGTTGAGCGTGCAGAATGAACGTTCAGAGCCCGACGCCCAGCTGGACGGTAGAGTGGGTGAGAGATCAGCACTGAGCGGCCCCAGTTACCTCGGAAAGTCGGGACTGGGAAGAGGAACCAAGACCCTACTAGAGTTGGTTTCCTCCCTGGACCGCGTGGTCTGGGCTCGCGGATAACCCGAGCCAGGAGGGGCGGCGTGGGGCTGGGCCAGAGCGGAGTCCTCGGGTCTGGGAGCACGACCTGCCTGACCTCCCTGCCACTGGGGCCGGGTGCTTCCAGCCCGCTGGCAAGCGCTGGCCAGAGTGGCCGGGGAACAGACAGATGATGAATTTCCTCCGGGAGAGTTTGCTGTGCACTGCCCTGGGCGCTCGCCCTGGGTTTTAGGAGGTTCGCGCCTGGAGACAGACGAGGACAGGATGTCTTAGTGGGATAACCGGCTATGGGCAGCCCGCGGCCCGCGGCCAGGAGCAGAGGTCGCGGCGAAGCGGGCAAGGGAGGAACTGCCTGCGTACTCCCTGCGCTCGCAATTTGGCATTTCTGCGCCTAGGTCCTTTTCCTCTCTCCAGTCTGCGCGTTACGCGGGTTCCTTTTCTGGGCTTATTCTCGCCAGTA